TACCAAGGGTACATTTGAACCCTCTGTGGTCTGACCTCTTGTAAGCAACCACCTACACAACGTTCATGAAACAAATGACTGAGGTATCACTTTACTAAGCACTCGCAAATTCTCTTACTTATAACCTGTTATCTATTAAACAAATTATTAGATTATGAGATCGAGATTACTACCACGCATAGAAATCAAGAGCAAATAATCTGAATGGAGACATTCAATGAGAAAAGTTTATTGAGGATGCGTCAGTCAGCCTTCAGATTTAATGTATCCTAATATTTACCTCATAAATTTAACTAATGGTTCAGGGAATTAGGGCTTTTCCCCCTGGGGACGAAGTTGCTTCGCCAGATACGAAAAACCGCTAAAAAAAACCACCCTTTTATATGAGGCCAAAAAATATGTGGAAACGTATTCCTCTTCTAATGCAGCAGCACAAGACCCCGAGGAAAGGGTATTCTACAATATTGTTTACACAAGTTGATCAAATTCAAACATAATCCTAAAAAATAAACCACTGACTGACCTACAATGACTTAAGGTGGCCGAACACAATTTTTACGCGTGCCTTTGCTGATGCAATCCAGTGCGTGTGCAAGGATTGCAAAAAAACAAACATGCCGTCAATAGAGCGATCATTTTATTTACTCAACACCCACACTATCTGAGCTATTTTTCTCTATAATTGAACGCAGTGTATTGATGGCTTTAGTCTTTAATTACAAATGTATGTTAGAAAAGGTAACAATGCAAAGAACCCAGCAATTCTCAGCTTTTACTTTGTTACCGAAAGAACCCAGTTAAATGCAGCACATGCATAGTAAGTCAAAAGATTGTGATTGAATGAAAAACTGCACTCTCGGAAATACACCTATTTCTCGAGAACCACTCATTAGAATTTCACTAAATTTGGCACGAAAATACTTTAGGAAATAATTAACTGGAGTATTGAAAATAATTGAACTTTAACAAAGCTAATTCTAGATATTCCAGTTAACAGTCAACAAGGGATAAATAAAGATCTCTCTGTTAAATTATTAGCAAAATGGTGTCAACTTGTGAGAATCATTACAAGCTTGTTGCATGCAAATTATAAAGAAAATCTAATGACTAGATTTTCCACAACTAAACAAAACCGATTTTGAAGGCCTGTTTATATTTATTCATGTTGCCATGGCAATGGCACATTTGTCAGCTTAACCATCAAAAAAACAAAGTTTGTGTTGTTAACTTGCTTGCTGCCATTTTTGACGACCTAGGGATCAAGAGTTTTAGAGAAAAAGGTGAATGAAAAGCAGGTATCAAAAACTGTACATGTGTTCAGCCACCTTAAATCTCCCGCCAAAACCTTAAATGGTCCATAAGCATCCCGTGATGCACTGCGAGTCTCTCCAACGTGCCGTCAGAATCTACAATAATAATTCCCGACTAATTCGTCCCTCAATCATCAAAAATTACATTTTTTTTCACGAGGAATTATCTCTCATCCCGCACATTTTTTCATCGTCATCCCAGAGATTCCCAAAAAGTACATTAAAAATAACGAAACAGGAACTGCAGGGTACTGCTTACGAGAAACGCTGCTAAAATGCCTAATTTAGAATACAGTAAAAACCAGCATATAAGAACCTAGTGATTTAAGAACCTACAGGCTGAAATTTGGCATTTAAATACTCGAAGATATAAGAACCTGTTCAGCCTGGCAAAGAAAAATAGGTTCTTATACCAAAAAATAACTTTAATTTGGGTGGTCCAAATTCTGGATTTTATTTGTGTGAGAAACTTCTGTATACATAATTTGCACATAATTGTGTTTGCTTTGATATATATTTTACAGTGTTTTGGATTTTCCCTAGAAATATGTTTTCTATAAAGCTACAGTGCAATGTAGACGATTTAAAATCTAAATATCTTATAAAATAAAATATAGAAATGTATTGATGTTCATCTTAGCTCTTCTTGGACTGTGATTGTTTTATCATCCCAACACCTTGTTTTGTACATATATGGATACAACTTCCTGAAAAATAAGAACCTATTAAGGTCATTAAGAACCTAGCTAATCAGCCTGAATTGTGAAAAACTACCCTAAAATATAACAACCTGTTCAGCCTGACTTCGAAAGTTCTCGGTTCTTGTATGCGGGTTTTATGTACGCTATATTCAGGTGGTGTCTGCTGTCTGCTTGTCTCTCAATTACTTGACACTGAGTTTCAATTAGATAACTGGTTTGGATTGAAAAGTGGCACCACTTAGCGCTCGCCTGGTCGATTCGCTTTGGCTGCAAAAACGTTTTATTTGGGTCGTGACGAATTCCCGAATTCCTAACAGACTGGCAACAACAACAAAAATCCCGAATCCCGTCAAGACATTTTGTCGAGACATTTCCCGAATCGATCCCGCACCATAAATCAGTCAGTGGGAGACTGGACACCGTTAGTGTGTTCATGGTTGCCTCCGCTTTTGTGCTTCTGATACTATTGGAGAAAAATTCACTTTCTTTAGTATGAGACTCACAAAGAACTTGTTGTTTGAAAAAGGATTGTTTCTGTATTGTTCAAAGTTGATATTTCCGGATGCCTTTAGACCAGAAAGAGAGAGAATGCGCTATAAATCTTAATCTGAACACGTTGCCTGATGATGTGTTGTTCGCCATTTTGGGTTACTGCGACAGAAGAAGCCTTTGTGTGTTATCTCGTGTGAGCAAGAATCTGTACCGTGTGGCGAGAGATGATTCCATTTGGAGAAGAATTGCTCTGCGTTGTGTAAACGTCCATCCTTCAGACAGGAAGTAAGTAAAACTTGTTTTTACACATGCACTGAGTTTTTGGTGAGAAATACACCCGGCATAGTCAATCGAACCCAATCGAACTAAATCGAACTGAATCGAACTCATTTCGGCGATCGAACCAAATCGAACTCACACAAAAATAATTACACAATCGAGCTAAATCGAACTTTTGATTTCTGAACTCTTGATTTTTTGTAAAATTGGTGTTGAAAATCAGTGACTAGTTTTTTTAGGCTCAAGTTACTTCAGTGACCACATAACATAATCTTTGTTCAAGCGAATTTATTCACTGAACAACTGGACGCAATCCATTGGATTGTGTTTGATTGAGTTCGACTGCTGAACCCACAATTTAATGGATTTAGTTCGGTTCAGTTTGATTTGTTCGATTGAGTTCGATTGGTTCAGAAATCAAACTCACACATAGTTCGGTGTTCGATTGCCAAACTCAATGGAACTCAGTTCGTGGATTGAGTTCGATTGAGTTTGATTTCAGAACGCTTGATTGATTATACCGGGAATACAGGAAAAAGCACTTTGACTGAGTTTAACGTGAAAGGGTGAAATTTTGATCAATGCTGTTGTTAGTCGTAAAACTAGTCATATATATTGCTACAGCATTTGCATAGTGTAGCCAATTAGAGATGTGTACATTTTTGAGCCAGTTTCAATCTCTCTTAAAAAAGAAAACAATATTAAAAAAAAAAATTTATGAATGCTTAATACATCCCCTTGGGGGTGGGGGGGGGGGGTGGTACTTGGGTATGATTTGGGTGGGTACAACGTATGTGCTACCCAGGTTTCCAAATTTGGACCCTGTTTAAAAAAAGAAAGCATTCAAAATGATACCCCATTCTAGATATAGTTCAATTTTTAATACCCCATTCTATAAATTTTGTAAATTTCAATAGCCTTACGATAGCATACCGCACGAAACACAGGACGCAACAGTTTGATTTGTTCATTAAGGGTTTTTTAATGCAAATTCTCTATGAATAATTTCAAATGGTTGCTGATAATTTGATGAGCTTTCATACATTCGCAATATTATACCCCGTTCTAGGAAACATCTTGAAATGGATACTCAGTTCTATATCAGGACTCCCAAAATCACAACCCCGTTGGGTGGCACATACCCATATAGGTATTGTGGGGCCCATTTCTCAAAGGTCGCGAAAAGTATTTACATCCAGAAAGCCGTAGCAAAATCTCAAACCTTATGATTACCAAGCTGTTTTATTTACATATTATTAATATGACCAGAAGTTCCCGTCATACAAGAAGTTTCAGGCGTATACACCGTTCTGTTTAAAAATGGCTTTGCGGGCCCAAAAAGTTTCCAGGCTGTTCAAGAAAGAAGCCCCAGGCCAGGGTTGTTCGAAAGGTGGATAGTGCTATCCACTGAATAAATTACTATATCCAGTGGATAGCACAGTTTGTTTTGTTAAAATCTAGCCACCGGATAGCATTTTATCTGGTGGATAGCGCTATCCAGCCTTCAAACAACCAGGACCAGGAATAGACATCTACCATCACTAGACTTACGGTAATTTATGACTGGCATGTGTATAAAATCCTGAAATTTTAACGTTTCAGGTGTGGCTTCAACTGGAAGGAGTTATGTAGAGTCTCGTGGAACTGGACACATGGATATTGTAAGGACAGAAGTCTAATCAAGTTTAAATGCAAGTGAGTTGTGGTCTGAACTGACTATCAGTGGCTTCTAAACCATTTAGCCAAAAAGATATAGAAATTTTTAGTGTCACATACAAATGGAACAATAATTTTTGTGGAAAATCTATTCAGAAATTGTAGACCTCCTCCAGAGGTATGTGTACATGTACTTCTATTTACAATACTGTTTAGAATGCAACGTCAGAAATTTCCGTACCTTTTGCTGAATTTGGCAGTTTTCAGGCCCTCATCAAGTGAAAACAATAATGGCAAACCAAATAATAATATAAACTATAAGCACTATCTTGTTTTGCAGGTTTGCTGATTTTGTGAAGATCTTACCATTTTTCAGTGGTCATCCCAACCAGTTCTCTCAGAGAAATGTAAAGCAACCAGTGTCCCATAAAAATGTGCCTTCTGTTCAAAATTTCTTCCCCTGATTGAGAGGCCTCATGTTCTACTTGACAAATTTTACACTGACAATGTACATGTAGCTCTGCACAGAGATCAGTGTATATATAGTACATGTACATGTATCTCTTGTGATTCCCTCCCNTTGTGTGTAATAATTCAAAACCAAGCAAAAGCTACAACAGAATCAAACCACTGATCTATGCAAAGCTCATGTCATCAGGCCTGATGGATTTTTTCAGGCCAAAGAAACATTTGTTGACTCTCAAACTTTGTTGTTAGTAGTTTCAAATATTTGTTAAATTCATGAAACCACTATTGTCCTATCAAGATTCTTTCCATATGTGAATTCATGAACTGAGTTTCTGCAAAAACTCTAGAACCAGTCTCTGTCTTTCTCCTTTCCTCCCTTTCAATTTATTTTGCCCCTCCTCATGCCCCAAGCTTTCACATGCATCTCCTGCTCTTAGAAAAGAAGCAACTGCTGTGTATGCAAACTTGTTACATTTACCTTTGTTCTAATTGTTTTAAGCCTAATGCCATGGATTCAACTTGGAAGACCTCAGCAACTGTTTGTGGCACAAGCTGCTGATGTAATCCTGTATCAGAAAAGCAAACGTACCAAGAGCCAATCATCATGGCAACCATTGATGACCTTCAGTGATCACCAGGGTGATGTCAGTAATTTTTTGATCACTGAAGGTCAGTTAGTGACCTGTGGTATGGATAAGTCCATTCGCACATGGAGCCTGAAGACAGGACTATGTGATGGCCTGTATCTTGGTCACTCCTCTGATGTGCACAGTGTGGACTGCTTTGGTGAAGTGATTGTCACAGGATCACGAGATAAAACTGTCAAGGTACAATGTCCAAACCTATGCTTTGACTACTGTGAAGTTTTGTTATTACGTACTGTGTTAGAACCCTCTGCTGTTAGTTACACATGTATTTATTTCAAAGCTTGTTAATGGTATTCAGGGTAATCTGTGACTTTTTATTAATGTGAATTAGTGTCTAACAGCTGTAAAGAACAAGAATAAGTACATTGATCATGACCAAGAATTAAAATTGAGGGGTTTCATTAAGGGCCGGACACTGGGCAAATTGACCAGTTGTGAGGCCAATTTTGCTTGCCTGGTTTGACCATCTAGTGGAAAGTTAAATAAAGGAAGTTCAGTTCAAAAAGGATTGCCAGCCTGTGAAAACCAATTGCCTTCCTGCTGAAAACATTAAAGAAAGCCCTGAAAATTACCATTATTTTAATACTGTTTAATACCATGTAATTGAGTTCTTGTCATGGTTTGAATAAAAGTGACACTTTTTGTATCAAATCATAGAGCTCAAGAACAGAAATGTTGATTCACTTATCATGCAATGCAGATTTTTTATGCCAAGTTGTCATGCTTCTTTTGTATCGTGATCGCATGCATATATGTTATAATTGTTTTTTTTTGTCTGTTTTTGTTCTAGGTGTGGTCCCAACAGAGCAAATCATGTGTTCACACCATTCACGTTCAGGATAACGTTTGGGCAGTTTCCCTCAATCCAAGTACAAGGTAAGCATGTTCCACTATACAACCATAAATATCACACTGTACTGCATCTTTGGGTCCCTAGTAATCAGGGCCAGGTTGTTCAAAGCCTGATTAAGCTAACCCAGGATTAGCGAGAATTGTGTAGTTCCAGAAAATATCCATACCTCCCCCACGGAAGGGAATTTTTCTGAGTCCCCCCCCCCCCCCCCCCCCC